GTTGTGAGGAAATATTGTTTGGTTTCTTTCAGTACCCCAAGCACAGGGCAAACACATTTTATTTGATTAAGTTATTGATATTATTAGCTAAATTTCATATACATAAGTCGAAATTTTCTAATGCAAAACCATCCTTTCAGTGCTTTTTAAATGAAACCAGACAATATATAAAAAAACATACAACATTCTCAAAATTTGAAAGCTGTCAAAACCATAAACTTATGTTTCCTGTTCAATATCATGTGATTCTTTGTTAGACCGTTTTGTTTTCCCATAGAAACCCCCTGACATTGCGCTTGTTATTTCTTTGTACTTGTATTATGTGCTCTGTCAATAAAGCGTGTTCAAGAAAAAAAATAATAAACGGGAGACACTTCTTTCCTGCAAACACAATTTCACAGGTGTTGCTGATACCTATGATCCTTCAAGGGATGTGCTCAAAGAGGAGTTCAACATTATGAATACAATATAGTGTTTTATTTTACAAATACCATCATAAACACAAACTTCCGTCTTAAGAAACATTATTTTAATAATGAAACTGCTAAATTCTTTCCAGCAGTATAGATGTGTAGTGTATTTTGTCCGAGTGGGTTTGACGCACTTTGACGTCATCTGCAGTCGAACCCCGAGCCGATCTTGCACTCGAGCAGATCCTGTACCGACAACGGAAATGGAATAAATTGCAGTTCCACCCCCATCCGCTGGGGGCTGGTGTCAGAAGCGAGCAAATCCTCATTGACTCCCATGTTAAAAATACCAATTTCACAGCAGAAATAAACATGTTTACAGCCTGGTACCAAAACATGTTTTTTGTTTAAATTATCTAGTTTACAGTCATGACAACTCTGAGGGGGATTAATTTTTTTCTCACACTTCTGTTTAAGTGTATTAAAAGCCTAAAATTCTGTATACTTAATGGGCATCCAACACACGTGACCGCCGCCTCAGACCCTCGTGACCACAGAGCTAGCTCCGTGGAAAGGCCTCAGTAGAGCCTCGGTCTGGCTTGGAAACTGTTCCGGGATTTTGAGTCTCTGTGTTTGTGTATTCTTGCTTGGATATTTTTTGTGCAATTGTTGGACAAAATGACTTGCTGTGGCATTAATTGCACTAATAGAGCGTCCAAGGAGTCTCCACTTCATTTTTTTCGGTAAGTAAAATTATATTTATGTATTTTGGGTCACTGCCGAGCGGAGCTTAGATGTTAACATGTACTGTTTAACCATGAAATTTAAACGTAATAGAGTAAAACCCAGTGCATTTAACATAATGCTGCATTTTAGAAAATGGGTTGAAATATAACATGTTGGTGGAGCTGGGTTCTGACTATCGGCTTGTGGAGCTCTCGGGAGACCGATGTTTTCCACCCGTTTCTCCCCTGGCTTTGCGGCTTTTGTTTGATGTGCTGCTGGCTGTTTCTCCCCGCAGCTCGGCGCATCTCTGTCTGATCGCGGCTTCTGTTTGATGCGTGGGCTGCCGGCTTGTGGAGCTCTGGGATGGAAACCTTTCCACCCGGTTCTCTCCAGCGGCAGCTCTGCACATCTCAGATCACAGCGGCGCTTATCTGCTGTGCAGCTGCCAGCTTGTGGAGGTCTCGGAGACCTCTGTGTAGGGCTGCAACAAACAATTATTTGGATAATCGATTAATCGGATGGGGTCTCGACACGATTAATCGATTAATCGGATTACATAGGGACATTTTTAAAAACTGCTAGGGAGACGTTATTTTTCTCCTTCCTTCACTTTATTAAACACAACATTATTAGAAAACAGTTCAATAGCAGAAAAACAACATGCCATCACCTAAATTGTCTTATAAGGTGTATAGACAGAGACCCTAAGCTACACCTATCTGTGACCTAAAATGCTTGGTCCAAGTTAAACAGCTTAAAGAGCAAGTCAACCCCTACCAGAGTCTAACTCCACTCCCGCTTCATGTTTGAAAAATGCAACACATGCTGTTGCCTGGCAGACCGAGAGGGCGGAGCCGCTAACAAATACAAACACACTCAGGCTCACGACAGCATTGTGACATCATAATGTACCAGTTTACATCATAGCATACTTCTTAGCCAATAGCGGTGGCAGATTTAAATTAAAATACAGTGCAGAGTTTTTACCTGACAACGGCACAACACTGCCAGTTTTAGGCAGAATATTTAAATTTTAACTAAGATGCACTGAAGTGCCAAATTATTGACGACACGTGTCTGCAGCACGATTAGACACTCGTTTATTTAGTTTATCAGCAAAAAAAAAGTTTATTTGGGGGTGACTTGCTCTTTAAGGGCAATTCTCATCTGTTTTGTTTGATCTCATCTGTAGACATTTATTATAATTGGGGATGTCAAACAACTAATTTTTAAATGTAATTAAACATAGGCTGTGAATTAATCAAAATTAATCACTATTTCCAAAAATGACTGAAAAATACCAAATAAAACAAAAGTAAATGAATGCCATCCTCCTTGCAATGATGCCCTGGGCAACTGCCATAAAGTCACATCAAGAAATGCTGCTGATCATTCCAATGATCCCAAATAGACTCACATCAGGCCACATGAAAGCAACTGAACCCAAAAATATATTAACCAGTATATAACTGCACTCTCACAACACACCTGCAGCAACAGTTAGGACTCCTCCCTCCCTTTTAAAAGCGTTTTTGCTTCTGAGGACATTGTGGATGTAAAGCCACATGTTAGTAGTCTGGCCCCGGTGTGATCAACCAGTTTCTGCGGGAATGTGACGGCGGAACCGGTTCGCAGCGGCGCGAGTCCCCCCCCCCCCCCCCCCCCGTCTATCTAATAGCGTCGCGCTTACAATTTTATAGACTTTTTTTAACGAGCTTAGGGCATGTCTAGCCTGTGTAATAATCCGGGGCTTGGGTGAATCACTTTTGAAAAGTTTTTAACTTACCCGGACACCGAGCTCTCTCCTTCCTCGCTGATGATTCTGACATGCTTGCGTTTAAGATGCTGCATCATCACCGTAGTACTCCCTTGCCATGCTAAGTCTGACCTACAAACGTTGCATGTCTTCGCCTGCTTTAACTGAAAATGCTCCCAAACTTTAGAAGTTTTTACTTTTTTGGGGTGTCGCTGCTTCTGCCTTGTTCCTCTTACAAACACCTGCCGGCTCTCCACCGGTCTGCGCTCAACGGCGGGCGGGAGGGGAGGGGGCTTTTGGAAGAGTTGCGCAACACAACAAATCGATGACACAATTCGTTGCCAACGCTTTTAGTAATCGATTTTCATCGAATTTATCGATTCGTTGTTGCAGCCCTACCTCTGTGTTCCACCTGGTTTTACCCAGCGGTCAGCCCGGCGTATCTCTGACTCAGAAGCTCTGGTGCTGTGCACAGTTAACTCCGGTTGTAGCTAGGTTGCTACCTCCGTTAGCTTAGCTCCCACCTCCGCGTTAGCTTTGGGTTAGCCAGGGTTAGCTTGTAGCTAGTTCAACCGGGTGTCGTCAGTTGATCCCAGCCTTACAGCCCCACCCTCAGCTCCTCTTCTCTTCCCTTTTGTGGAATTGTCTGGGCTTGACGGAACCTGGGACACGGTCAAAACCTCCCATTTGGCCTAAAAAACGTGATATTGGAGCCTATAGAAAGGAGATGTCCAGTATATTTATGTCGAGGGAGTAAGATCATCTTTCTCATTGGTTACAGTGACAGCACTCTCATTTAATCAAATTAAACCTCAAGAAGCATATCACACCACACACCCACTACATACTCACATGTTTCAATCTCTTCACATGCCTGCACTTGGGTTTTCTCTCTTTTTTTTCTTCCAGGTGGCACAAGGAATCACAGAGCCAATCAATCACACCCTTGCTCAAACACATGCACATCCACAGACACCAATAAAAAAGAAAAATCCAGAATATAAACACAGGGCCGGAGGAACCAAGATGAACTTGCCTTAAGTTCGCTTGCTGACATTGCTTTTTTAATTCATCAGACCTGTGATCTGAAGTGTTGCATCCATCAAAACAGATCCGTCTCTCTCCATTAAAGAAAATAGCCACTGAGATGCTTCTTCTTAAATAGAGGTAAAGAGGAAATTAATCTCTCCCTTGGCTGCTGTGGCAGGACATTAATCTAGCAGATTCACTCATCTCATCTTTTTTCTCATTGCCTGATAATCCCCTCCTCATCAAAAGCATATGCAAACCTCAGGTGGACAAAAGCAGGAAGTAACTGGGATGCAGTACTCCGCTTTGCACCTTTATTCTTTCTTTTTTTAATTTAGTCCCTCAACTTGCTGTTAGAAGTGCATAATTTGCCATTCAACTCTCAATCAGTTACATCAAATTATTTGTGTGACTTCTTATCGCTGTCAAAGGAGAAATTCAAGTGTCAGTCTTTTGTTTAGACCTCAGATGTTTCAAAGTTGTGGTAATTGTTGCTGTAATAAGACTCAAATGCAATGAAAGTCAACATGCAAATCTGTTTTTTTTTTTATCTTATTTTGATTCATAAAGGGATAATATGACATTTTGGCTTGCTTTTAGCACCCCCTAGAGTGTGTTAGGTAAAAACCAAAACTCCTCACTATGCATTTGCCTTTTAAGCATCTTAATCTAACAGCTGAGATGTCTCCCCAGCCTTCATTGGTGTTTACAGGAATGATTGTACCATATGATTAACTGCTCTGAGGCCAATGGTATAGGTGCAAAGCAGGAGCTGGGAGGTGACAATCAACTCTGGATCTGATGTAGACAATACCGGTTCAAGAAGTCTCACATTCTTTAGTCAAATAAATCCACTGCTCACCCAGAGTCCAGTATCCTCACAACGATGATATCCAACAGCGACAGCTATCTTCACCAGTGCTCCAGTCTTCCAGACAGACTGCTCACAGTCACAGATGCAAAGTGTCTAGGTGTTGAAGAGAGTTCACAGTGAGGAAGAGTTTTTCAAAAGCTCTGACCTCTTCCTTTTTGGTGTGGCCAAGCCAGTATCTGCCACAGGTGTAGCCACATCAGCAGGGATGACAGGAGGTGGGGCTACCAAGGGTGACACATCTAGGCTTCTGGATCCACTGCACCTCGTGGCAGTGAGAGCAACGCTCGGTCTTCTCCCCCTACAGAAAATTCAGTCCGTTTCAAATCCAGAGATGATGTGTCACCTCCCACATTCCACACCCACAACACGCACCAATGAGCACACGGGATGGAGCGTCTGAACTTTACCGAAAAAAATTCCAAAAATAAGCACCCAGAGGAAGAGCACGTGTCCAGGAAGAATTATGTCACGGTCTGGGGTTTTTTCACACACTAATTGGTGTAGAGTCTCATCTCTCCTCTGCAGGTGGGCGTGCCTGGAAGTTGGGAGGCTGCAGGTAATCTGCTGATTAGCTGGCCAGGGATATTTAAGCTCCTGAGAGACGCCTTCACTTCGCTGGATGATTAACTCAACTTGGGTATTTCTCCTAACAGCCAAATCCAAACTAAGCTTTGATTTTGAGAATTTCTGGGTTATGGATTTTTGATTTTTGAAATCTCTGTGTTTTTGACTGCTTGTTTTGCCTCCTGCAGATATCACCTATCAGTTCACCTCGTTTGCTGCTACCAACCTGGTTTCTTCACTGTCCACTCGTCTCTCAGCGTCCTCCTCTGGTCTTCCCACTCCAGGCTGCCCACCCTCCCTCCTGGATCACCATTACCCTTCATGCTCAGCTCCCTCCTCATTTGGACTCCAAGCTCATCAGCCTCCAGTAAGCCTCCTGCCCTCCCCAGACCGGTCACTCCTCCTTCTCTCACGAGGTCTCACCTCCAACCTGTAAGTTCCATCAGATCCAACATTCAGATTTCCGAGTGCCAGACCTAACTCTCCCTGTTCCTCCAGGATTCTCCACACCCGAACCTCGCTTCTCTGCCGAATACTGCTAGACTTCCTAGCAGCTCCTTCTGTTCTCCTTTTCTAATAAATTATTGTTTGCGATCTTCTTTGACTCTGTGGACTGATTCTGTATGTCGTGGGTTAGGCATCTACCACACAACATGACTGTGACGTGCACTGTCTACTTTTGGCCACAAGAGGCCCTCGGTCTGCTGCCTGCACGGCTGCAGGCTGTTAGGTAAATTGAGCTTCCCTGTTAAAAGGGAGCTCTTGAAGGTATTCTAGGAGAGATGTGCAGATGGGTGTTGGCACGGAGGTGTTTGCTCTCCTCTCTAGCTCTCCTCGCTTACAGACGTTAAAGTCTTCGTTCGTTCGTGGTATTTCTTCGTTCGCTACCTGAGTGGTATTTTAGTTTGTTCTGAAACCCTAGTGGTAATTTTGTGTTTTGATAATATTAATAGTAGTTAGAGTGTCCTCGTTATAGAGAGACTTTGCTCACCCTTTTGGTGCAGTTTTGCGTTTGCCGTTTAGCCTTATTCCTAGCCTTATTCCAGCCTATGTGCTGCGCTTTTAGTTTATTATTAGATATCGTTTTTCTTCATTTGGAAATTCCTTTGTTTATTAATACCCAGTTTTGGATGACCCTTTTGTTCCCTTTTCAGCCTAGAGCTTCGTTTTTGTTTAATAAATATCTTATAGAGAACTGTAAAAGTGTTTGTTTCATTCCCAGTACAAAATCTTCTTTACTCCCTAAACACATCGTGCTCCTAGCGAAGCCGAGGGACGTAAAAGAGTGGGGGCTCGTCCGGGATTTTTTGTTATTTATAACATTTTTACCCGAAATTTTAATTTGTACTGTGCTTGGAACTAACCTTTTATTTTTTCTCTTAGAGGCGAAGCAGGAATCATGTCTACCTTTGACGTACAGGCATTTGTGGAGGCTCCATCGCGCCGGCTACTGGAGAATTGCGGAAAATCCGATCTGCAGCAGGTTGCCGCCCACTTCAGTCTGCTCGTCCCCAAGCAGCTAACGAAAGACGCCCTACGTCAGTTCGTCTTGGATTTCCTGGTTGCACAAGAGATTCTTCCGCCTGTGTCACGCCCTCCGTCACCACCGGTGACTAACGAAGAGGAGAGGATGGAGAAGCCCGAACTAGCCTGCTCCTCGGAGTCCGCTTCACCTCAGCAGAGCCCTTCGTCGTCTCCGTTAACCGGAGCTCGCCTGAAACTCCGACTGGCTCGTTTGCACATTGAGGCCGAGGAACGCGCTCTGGAAAGAAAGCTTCGACATGAGATTGAACTTAAAAGACTGGACGCGGATATTCGACTGAGAGAACTTGAGCTCACATTACAGAGCAGGAAGCATGATCCTGCCACGTTTCGGACTGTTCAACCAGCCGAGGACTCAGACGCCGCCATTTCGCCTCCCCTTGGGGATGTCCGACCGCCATCTGAGACTCCGCTTACTCCTACGTCTTCTACGACACCATTCGACATCAGCAAATGCCTCACGCTCCTGCCTCCCTTCCGAGAGACTGAAGTGGATGGGTACTTCCTTGCTTTCGAGAGGATGGCTGCGATACTCCGGTGGCCTCGCGATGTCTGGCCTTTGCTTTTGACCTGTAAGTTGACAGGTAAGGCTCTTCAGGTGGTGTCTGCTTTGTCTCTAACAGACAGTGCTAATTATGATACGGTTAAGTCTACTGTTTTGCATGCTTACGAACTCGTACCGGAAGCCTACAGGCAACGGTTCCGCTCTGAAACGCCGCGAGACAATCAGTCTTTTGTCGAGTACGCTCATAACAAATCGGTTTTGTTTGAAAAATGGTGTGTTGCTTCTCATGTCACTTCGCTAGCTGAGCTCAAAGAGCTAATCCTATTAGAGGAATTTAAGAGACATGTCCCCGAAAGAATTGTGCACTACTTAAATGAACAGAAGGTTACTTCCTTCTCCGAAGCCGCCTTACTCGCTGACCAGTTTTCTCTCACACATCGAGTCAAAGAAACTCGTTCAGAGCCCGTACGAGGAGTCAAATCTCCTCCTAAACTTCGCCCTGCTACTGAGAGATCTGAGTGTTTTTACTGCCACAAGCGTGGCCATGTCATCAGAGACTGTTATGCTCTAAAGCAGAAAAACAGACGAAACGGCGACTCGCCCAGAAAAACCCGACCGGAAGTGGCTCTTTGTTCATTGAAACCCTGTGCTGGGATGAACGTAACCAAGCCCAACTCATGCTACAAACCATTTTGTCAGAGGGGCGTGTATCACTTCCGGGTTCTGCAACAGATGAAAAAGTGGTGATATTAAGAGACACCGGAGCTTCGCAAACGCTAATTAAAAAGAACGTTTTGCCTTTTTCCGAAATGAGCCGAGCTGGCTACTCTGTGATTTTACAAGGCATTGAAATGAGAACAGTTCCTGCTGAAGTGCATCAGATTAATCTGTCTTGTCCTTTAGTTTCTGGTATTTTAGCTGTGGCTGTAGTGGACGATCTGCCAACGAAAGGGGTGGATCTTATCCTGGGAAATGATGCCGCAGGTGGTTTGGTCGTGCCTGTTCCTGAGCTCATCACAGAACCAGAGGTGCAAGAGAGTACCGACAGTTTACCAGCGTGTGTGTTAACTCGAGCTCAAGCAAAGAGGGATCCAGATATAACCCTCCAAGATTCCGTTCTGAGCAAGCTTTTCTCAGATTCTGGTAAACACCCAGATTCTGCAGTTCGTGTGTTGCCTCAGGTTAATCCTGAGAACTTCCCCATAACCTGTGATGCGCTAGTGGAAGCTCACAATTCGGATGAATCCCTGAAGCCCTTCTTTGCCCTAGCTTGTGCTGATGTTCGCTCGGCTAGTGGCACTACTGCTTATGTGCTAGAAAAGGACATTTTGTTTCGGTGTTGGGCTCAACCCTCTGCAAAAGGGGCTGACTGGGGGAATGTGAAACAGATCGTGGTACCTGTTAAGTTCCGTCCCCACATTTTGGCTTTAGCTCACGAGAGTGACTGGTCTGGACATTTGGGAATAAACAAAATGTATGAGTCCATATTGCGCCATTTCTTTTGGCCCGGATTAAAACGCCAGGTCTCGGACTATTGTAAGTGTTGTCCAACCTGCCAGACCGTGGGAAAACCGAACCAGAAAATAAGACCAGCTCCCTTACATCCCACTCCTGTGATCTCCACCCCGTTCGACCATATAGTCATCGACTGTGTAGGTCCACTTCCTCCATCTCGTTCAGGAAAGAAATACCTTCTCACTATTATGTGTTCTGCCACCCGCTTTCCTGAGGCTGTACCGTTATCTTCCATTACTACTGCTAACATCGTTAAGGCCCTAACAGGTTTCTTTTCTGTGTTTGGAATGCCTAAAGTCATACAATCGGACCAGGGCACCAACTTTACCTCACGGGTTTTTGCTCAAGTAGCAGAGACCTTGCACATTGAACATCGCAAGTCTTCTAGTTACCACCCGGAAAGCCAGGGAGTCGTGGAAAGATGGCATCAGACTCTGAAGTCCATGTTAAAGAAATATTGTTTTACCTCTGGCAGATCTTGGGAAGATGGTCTGCCATTTGTGTTATTCGCTGCTCGGGACACCATTCAGGAATCTACTGGATTCAGTCCCCACCAACTTGTTTTTGGCCACTCTCCACGGGGCCCCCTCAAAGCCCTAAAAGAGAAGTTTTTGTGGCCAGCTCCTTCTGCAGGTGTTAGTGCACCTTTGTTTGTCAAGACATTCCAGAAAAGGTTAAGGGAGGCTAATCTACTAGCTCAGCAACACTTAAGCAAAGCAAAGCAGAAAATGAAAGTGAAGTTTGACAAAAAAGCAGTTGTCAGAGTGCTACACCCTGGAGACCAGGTTTTGTTATTGAGCCCTGTTGTGGGTTCCTCTTTGTCTCCAAAGTTTGAGGGTCCTTTTGAGGTTCTCTCCAAGCTCAATGAAACCAATTATGTAATCAGGACTCCTCTAATGAGGAAGAAAACCATGACTTGCCATATAAATCGTTTGAAGCTATTTCATGAACATGTTACTGCTGTGACTCAGCCTTGTTTAGTCTCTGCAGATGTCTCTCCCCCACTGCCTGCTACTGTGCCAGATGATACTGTGACGTGGAGTTCGCTTCCCCCTGTTACCCCACGTCTCTGCAACTCCGAAGCTCTCTCCAACCTGTCGTCCAGTTTGGGTCACCTCACCGCTTCGCAACAGGAGGAGCTTTCTCATTTAATTCACTCTTTTCTAGAACTCTTTTCAGATGTGCCCAGTCAGACCCACCTAATAACTCATGACATCAGCCTTACTGATTCCGTCCCCGTTCGTATGCACCCTTACAGGGCTAACCCGATGAAGAGGGAGCTAATGAAAAAGAAGGTAACTTATCTATTAGAACATGGCCTAGCAAAGCCCAGCACCAGTTCCTGGAGCTCGCCATGTTTATTGGAAAATAAACCTGATGGTTCATATAGGTTTGTTACGGACTACCGCAAGTTAAATGCTAAAACCGTCCCTGATTCGTTTCCTTTGCCTCGTGTAGAAGACTGTGTGGATAGTGTGGGGGCAGCCACGTTTGTCACTAAACTAGATCTTTTAAAAGGCTATTGGCAGGTGCCACTAACTCCATTTGCTTCTAAAGTGTCTGCTTTCGTCACCCCCGATAACCTGCTCCAGTACACCGTGTTGCCGTTCGGGTTGAGGAATGCCCCCGCTACTTTCCAGCGTCTAGTGAACCAGGTTTTGGGTGATGTGCCTCATTGCAGTGCGTATCTTGATGACATAGTCATCTACACTCAGTCCTGGGATCTGCATCTCCAGATTTTAACTCAAGTCTTTGACCGCTTAAAGATGGCTAATCTGACCCTAAACCTCGCCAAGTGTGAGTTCGTGAAAGCCACTGTCCGTTATTTAGGGAAAGAAGTAGGACAGGGCCAGGTGAGGGCGCTGTCTGATAAAATCCAGGCTATTGTTTCATTTCCGCCACCGACCACACGCAGAGAACTCCGTCGATTTCTGGGCATGACCGGTTATTACCGCTGTTTTTGCCGTAACTTCTCCACTGTTGCTAAACCTCTCACAGACATGCTAAGCACCAACATCCCATTCTCTTGGACCTCCG